CCAAATAAACATAGCCCTGGGCCATTCAGCTTAGAAACAATGCCCAGTCATTGGTTGACCCGATCAAACGCATGCAGTCTGCCTTCCTCCCACCTTCCCCCTGTTTCACCCCTTTGTCTGCTTTCAATCAAAATAAAGTTTAAACTTACGCTTCACTCTCATACATTCCTTTCATTCAGTCTGATCAAGTCCTGAAAAAAAGGCAAAGTCGTAGGGGTAATCTCATGCATACATCAGTCAAACTAAAGGGAGATAGGCAAACATGGGTATAGAGGGTTTATACAGGCAGAGAAAGGTATACGTGATAGTTCCCTGCCTCCAGAACCTCGCCTAGGTTCCGGCAGAGCTCCCGCAATCGATGGGTGGACTCCCCACAGAGTCTTGCTGCGGTCCTACAGGTTGCAATCCCTCGTACCGCCTACTGCCTTCCTCTCAGAACCAACAGACCAGACTTAGAAGGGTAGAAAAAGATAGGTTGAGACTCTCAGATCCAAGAGGGTTGCACTCAGACTCGCGTGAGAGGGCCTTGTTACCTTGATGCGCCTGAGGGCCCCGCAATGGCAGCCAGGTCGCACAGCGACTTGATCAAACTGGAGTCGGGCTGTTGGCCGTTGACTCTCTGTCGGCCTTCCAAAATCACAACAATACCTCCCTCTCGGCAATCACAATCACTCCGCGGCTCCAGTGCAATGACCACCGGAAAGCCCTCAAGCCCATGGAATTTCTCCGGCCACCTCGTACGGTAGAGTGCACAACACACTGGTCGGCGGCCCTGTCTACCTCACGTAGCTGTCCTGCCGCTGCTTCACCCAGCAGCGGACGGCGCTGCTGTGGGAGAGGTGGGCCTGCAGTATGCAGCTAACTTCCTGCTGCTCCGTATAACGAAATGGCCGTCGTACCTGCCCGCAGGTAAGTCTCCGAGCCTGCAGCTCCCTCGCCCCACCATTTCGATCAAGGAGGTGGGCAACGCTTCTGCCAACGGGTAAACCCCCAATTCTTCCCGGCTCACTCTCTACTACCTTGCTCACCGAGATGAGCAATGATTGACCAATCAGGTAGGTCCCTGACTTCGCTCCTCGCTTCCTCGCTTGTCAGGTCAGCAGTGCATCAGTCAGCGTGTGAAGCTCCTGTCCCACAGCTGAACTCGCTTCCACTTCAATCATTAGTGATGGCAACCTATCGGCCAACAGGCAAGCTTGCAAGCTCGTGTTTTGCCTGTAACTGTCTCCCTCGGTAGCACGCCGGCCTACGGTATGTCACAGGCCCGGGGAACGAATCCCCGCCACTTCAGTCGATAGGCTGGACAAACCTCGGATGAATCTGCTACCAGAACAGGAGTCCGTGCACTACCCCCCCCCCCCCCCCCCCCCCCCCCCCCGCTCGATTCTTCTGTTCGAATATGTCAATCACTGGTAAGCCTTCGTTTTCGCAACTCGCCTCCTACTACTTCCGTCTATAGGACATGCCTCGCACCCGCCGATTCAGGGAAGTCTCCAATCCCGTAGCTGGCCTCCCGCGGCTACTAATGACAGGATGGCAAAAGCGAATGAATCTTTTGCTTGAACATGGGCAAATACATCCTCACCCCTTTTCAGTCCTTTCTCTCTAGGCGCAGGCCATACCTCCCACACCACTGGTTTCACCCACCAACCTGCAAACCCGACGTTACTATTGGATTCGCGCGTTGTAGAAGCTCCCAAAACGTGTATCTCCTTGGTCGTTTCCATCGAGTTTCGAGTAGTAACCTCAATCCTCTACTCCTTTCTCACCCCTTTCTCGCGCAGCCTTTTTCTCTGCTAATTTACATCCTACTAACTTACATCCTACTAACTTTCTACTCAAGCTAAGGTCATATTCGGATCCGCCCGACCAAAAAACCTTCGTCTAACATCTCCCCTCGCCCGATTTCATTGAGAAACGGGTGAGTTACATTTTTCTCCAGCCCGCCATCGCTCTTCTTCTACAACATCATCGCACTCGCCTTTTCCATCTACCTCCTTTTCTACTAACTTTCCCCTCAATCTAACTGCGGGATCGAGGTCGCCCTAGTCTAAAACCGTCGAGGCAGTGCCTCACTTGCCGAAATCCGTCTTCAAACGGCCGAGCAAGACCTTTTCCCTTGTCTTCTTCTTCGCTTCCACCATAACTCCGCGCGGTCGTCTCCTCTCCTACCACCTATTCTATTAACCCACCGTCCAACCTGACGCCACGATCGAACTCGCCTGGGGCTAACACCCCTATTTACTACATCTTACCCAACGGCGTGCAGTATCGCCAGCGATCTCTCATCTTCGCTGTGGCCCGGCTCACCCTCCCGCCATCTCCAACTCTCTTTGCCTACGAATGCACCTGGCGCGAGAAGGCGCCCATGTACCCCTATTTTCTAGTTGCCTATGCCCGCTGCTTCGCCTTACGGTTCTGGCGCCCGTCGCCTGCTGTTGCATCTGTGAGGCGACGGTGCCCACCAGTCCGGTCTATTCCGAGGGGGACTTCGGAGAGACCGGCTACTAGTCGGTTCGACCGGCCTTCCTCCTGCTTGCCCAAGTCCGACGGCCGCCCCACACACCGTGCCGCTGCAGCCTCCTCCTAGAACCCCCCTTGAGAGTTTGCCACCCCCTCGGCTGGTCAGGCAAGCCTTCGCATGGTCTGCCAATTGCCGAGCTAAGGGCATAATTCTGTTGAAGGCCCTACGCATGGGCCTCATAGAGTCCGGCCCTGTGCGGACCTTGATGGTAGTAGCAAATATTCAACTAGGAACTTTGAGGGCCGACGTGAACTGGGGATCCCCGCGATCCGCAATTTGCCGCGGCACCGCCGCAGTCCCTGAACTGCGCCCCGAACCGCTTTCAAACCATTGCGCCTGGGCATGATCCACCAACTTCCGACGGCACGCCCACACTCAAACCTCTCACAGCAGGTCATGGTTTGCAGACGGTGCACCCGCAGAAAGCCCCTGCCATTCAGGTTCCTTCCGGCTTGTGGGCTAGTCACTTGCCGGCTCGAACACACATTAGTTTCCCCGGTCCGTGCTTCAAGTCAAGGAATTTCGGTGGCATTTCGAACACGCGGAATCCGAACGGGCCCGCAAACGGAGGTGCATACCCAGGGTCTTCGACCGCCGCGTCGACCACTAAATCCAGCTTCGCGTCCAAGTCAAGAAATGTCGACACGTAGAAAAGTAATAATGATACAAAAATAATAAAGTATCTAAACTTTTAATCATTAGAATACGACTAATGGAAAAAAAAAAATGCTAACACCGTTTCAACATCGCCGACCGCCGCTCAGTCTCGATCCCTGAATCTCTCTAATGAAAGTCGGACGCCGTAACCACTAATGCTAAACCCAGTCTGACAGACGCCTACATGAACGGACACCGCGCGACTCGCGGGCTTATCGAAGACGCTTCAAAACCTCCTTGTTGTCGATGTCGTCCTCCGTACGTACGCATAAGCCACAGGCAGGCGCACCAATCAAAAGGCAAAAATCTTTTTAATCTCGATTTAAATCATAAATAAATAAATAAAATAAAAATCTGGCAAGCGATCACGCCAGTTCTTCAGTCATCAATAAATAAAATCCTGCGCGCCTCAAGCTTGCACGCCCACTCACTCCCTATTCTAGTACACCATCCAGCCAATGTAAACCTCAGACACAGCCGCGCCTTGCGCGGTATACTTAAACTAGGCAATCTACATGACATAAATTCTACAGGTTTGTACCCATTCCCATCGTCTTGGTGGAGTACAACACCGATCCCGTATTGACTGGCGTTAGTTGTTACAATAAAGGGTAGAGATGGGTCTGCTACTTTCAACACTAGGTAAGTAATCGAACATTTCTTTAGACGCTTGAAGGACACAGTACAATCCTGATCCGATTTCCAAATAGTTTCTTTTTTTAACAAACTGCGCAATGGGGCAGCGATTACCGTAAAGTTCAGAACGAACTTACGGTAATAGTTGATCAGACCAAGGAACGAATGCAGTTTTGTCAACGTGCACGGGTTAGGCCAATCTCTAATGGGTGCAATTTTTGCGTCTTCTAACTTGATTCCATCACCGCCTAACATATGTCCCAAGTAAAGAACCTGACGCTTTGCCCACTCACACTTCTTCGGGTTAATCTTATTTTTCGCCTCTCGCAACTTATTCAGCACAACTCGAAGGTGCTCCTCATGCTCACTCAAACTCTTACTAAAAATCAGTATATCATCTAAATAAACAACAACAAACTTATCAAGCCAATCACGAAACAACTCATTCATACATCTTTGGAAGGTTGCAGGAACATTCGTCGGTCCAAACGGCATCACCACAAACTCATAGTGGCCATATCTAGTTCGAAAAGTCGTTTTGTGCTAGTCCTCGGGCAATACTTCAATCTGAAGGTAGCCTGATTTCATATCAATTTTGAAAAAGTATCTGCAACCCTGAACTCTATCGAGGAGATCATCTACCCGTGGTAACGATTCAACATTCCTAACAGTTATCACTTTGAGTCCACTGTAATATTTGCACATACTCAGTTCATCGCCCTTCTTTGGCACAAACAGGACTGGTGCACCGAATGGTCATGAACTTGGTTTAATCCACCCATTCTCAAGCAATTCATCCAATTGCTTTCGCAGTTCATCAAGCTCTGTTGGAGACATCCCATAGATAGGGCCCTTCGGAATCCGGCTACCGAGTTTTGACTTAATCCGATGCTTGGTTTCTCTCTCAACCACTCCACTTGGGGCCTCTCCCACATTTGCGAACTCGTCAAGTAATTTTTGTACAATGGGGGGGAATGGGTTCTTCTTCTTTCTTAGTTTGACTCACCGGGTGCACATGCACAACAAACACTTGGTCAGCAAAAGGTCATTTTTGACCACATGCCAGGCGAATGTGGGGGCACTCATGCAGCAAAGGGATAGGCTATTCTCTACGCCAAATGTATGGTAAAGTTGGATTTCTTCTTTCCACCTGCAGGGCTAGGCAAACAACACTCATGCTCACCTGGTTTCACATCTGCATCGGCGGCCTCACCCCAATCAGTCCCTAGTATCATGTCAAAAGGGAGACTGTACTCCATTAAGAGTGTCAAGGAGTGCAGAACACGTTCCACCTTTCCCCCTGCCTCCAACCGGAAGTATGCCCCAACCCCTTCAACATAGCTATCTACTACCATTTCTCTATTCTCCGCTAGCTTACTTACAACGGGCTGATCTAACTTCAGGACCTTCAGGCCCAGGCGCATCTTCTGCAACCCTTTCTTGCTAATATAACTGCGCGTTGACCACTATGTATAAACGCGCCCACTCTTACTCTACTGACTTCTACGTCTGCAATTAACAACTGCCCTTTCTCTTTCTTCATTTCGACCCAAGCACGACGATGAGTGATCAATTCATCACCTATGCTTGCGGAGGAACCACCTAGAGAAGTCCTAGCGCAAGCAACCTCCGGGCAGCTAACTAGGTGGGGGCCGTCTACCGTTTCAGTCGCTGCCATCAGAACCTATGGATGGGACGATGACAGCCTGCTTGCATCCGGAGTCATCGTTGAGGCAACTGCTACCTCTACTGGTTGTTCCTTTTCGGGTACCGATATTCGGGACAGAAGGGAACAATGTAGTCGGGGTCACCACATTTGAAACACTGGCCGGCTGCCTTACGCTCATCCCAAGTTTTTTCGTCAATTCCCATTTGTTCCCAAGGTTTGCCTACAGCAATTGCGGGATGGGGTGGATATGGCCGCCAATTGTTGTATCCTCTTCCTCTATTCCCAGTGGAGTTGGAATCTCTTCCACCTTGCGAGGGACCTGTTACGGACTTCGCCGGGGCTCGATCCCTGGTCTATCTTTTGCTGTTTCGGCTGCATCCCGTTTTCGGCCTGGCACCCTTTTTCCAAACCCCTCCTTTTGGTACCGTAGGATTTTGGACAACTGGYGCCATGCTGCAATTCGGGCGCCACTTTCAAATACTGCATTTTTCAGTTYTGCCCTCGGGGCCTTTGCAGAAATGCCCCTGGTACSGTAMGTGTCACCGGTACTTATGACCGGCTCCCCGTACGGTACAGGGGAGAGTCGCGTACCAGTTCTCTGCTGMTGTACTCGTACTCAGTGTGACTTGCTGTTTTCGGCATTCGGGAATCCAAGACTTCGACTTTGTGCCTTGCCACTGTGTCTGCGTCCGATCCTCAGTCCGAGTCCGTCGTGTCGASTGAGTGAGTGTGTGTGTGTGCTCTCACTCTCTCCCTCTCTCTCCTCTCCCTCGGCTCACCTCAGCCTCACGCTCGTTACAGGACCAGTACCCCTACCTCCCACATAGTAACTACCTTCGACACTACCCCTCTGGGGAGCAGGTCCTCATCCTCCATCTCGGCTGCGGCCTCCTCTTCCTCTTCCACGGCCTCTTCCTCCTTGTCGCCCTCCCCCGCGAGCTGCAACAGCGGCATACTCCCCTCCCTGGGCTAAGTGACTATTGTTGTCTTCCTCTAAGCCATAAACTATCCGATCATAAGTAAGCGATTCTACCCCTCCTCCTTCGAAGGTGACAAGAAGATTATCTTTCCCAGCTATGTTCCAGCTATGTTCCCCATTTCTTCCCTACCTGAAGATCATTCCAATAATGGCAGTATTGTGCTTCTTGTAGAAAGCCAGCATGATCAACTGCAATCTTGCTGAACTTTTCTATGTCATTCCTTCTTTAGTGCGGGAATAAAGTTGGGTTCTTAATGGATCTGGGAGTGCTCTGGCAAAATTGTTCAGAATTTGAGTGGCTGTTAGTCCATGGTCTGGATACTGCAATAGTTCATCCATGGTGGCTTTGAGTGTTGACACACTCTTGCACTTAACGATCACCAATGTAGGATCAAAGACTCAGTCCTACGGGCCAGATTCTTATCCTCGAACCTTTCTCTAAGGGCCCTAAGGAAGTCCTCAATCCGTGTCTGTTGGGAGTATAAGGCCATGGTTGTGCAACCACTCTCCTTCATGAAGGAGATGGCGAAACTCATTGCATCACCCGCCAGACATGAGCTAGCCATTGGCACGCGGCCCCAGTATCTTCTGCGCGTACAGGCAAGTATCCATTGCAACTTCCCAATGAAGTATACTGTCTTCTTTCTTCCCTGTGCAGGTCCAGGACAACTTCACCCTCTTTTGCCTGGAC